TCCCCTCCCCTCCTCTCCTCACTTCCTCCATGCAGAAGGACAGCTAATAACACCCATAAAGGGGCTCAGGCTGCCATGGGGGGCCTGAGGATGTCCAGAGCAGGTCCGCTGCCACTCCTTGTTGTCTCACCACTGACAGAAGGTTTCCTTACGCTGCTCAGCCCTTCGCCCCGGCACTTGAATCCTTCCTACAGATGAGAACAATATCAGCAGCAGCAAGACTGGTACCCAGGGTCTGTTCAGAGCAAGGCAGGCTCTGCCAGAAGCAGGGGGTAATCAGCACAGTAATTAAATGTGCAAATAATGGGAATTTGGGAGTTATAACAAAAGCCAGAGGAATAATCTGGAGGGGCTTGGCGAAATTAAGAACACAGAGCAAAATCTAATCAAGCAGAAAATAGCCCAACTGGAGCCAAGGGCTGGGAGCTAAGGCTGCCGGCCTCGGAGCGCTCCTCCCCTGGCATCTGCAAATGTCTCCAGTGCCATTTTGGGGCAGAATAAGAGTTTTTGGAGAGATCTGTTCCTGTTTGGTGAGCAGGGCTGGCTGCAGGCTGTGTTCCTGGGAAAAGTTCCCAGATCCGCGCTATTGGTGGACAGCAGATTTTGGATGCAATATTGATGGAAATAATCACTCAGAAGAGCAGTCTGGGGAAATGCAGCTGATGGAGGTGGAGAAAAGATACCTGACGCCAGTGGGAAGTTTTGGGGGAGAAGGTGGCTTTTTGTTACAATGGGTTTGCTAAGGCTTAAATATTTTGTGCAGACATCCCATTCCCAGCCACAGCACTTCCCTGAGATGAGCTCGGACACACAGAGCTCTCTGGCCAGGGGGAGATAAATGTAAAACCTGAGCTGGTTTTGGTCTGCAGGAGACAAATCCCCTTGTGAGCATCCTGGGAGGGACTCATGGTAGGGGAGAGCAGCAGGCAGGATTCAGGCTCTGGTGCAATTCAGTTATGCTCATGCCAATCCTTGTCTGGGTTTCCATGGGGGGATGTAGTGGCCAGTCCTTGAATCCCTGGGGAAATGGTTCATGAGGCTGGGAGCCAGAGCCAGGGGACCCGATGCTGTGCCACGGGCATCCTGGGGACCAGACCTCAGGTGGCACAGGCAGGGCTGAGCCACGTCCCCAGTCACCGTGCCTTGGTCATGAACACGGGGATATTGTCCCTGAGGACTTGCAAGGGGACATCTCATGGGGTGGAAGGACCTTCTCCCACCACCAACAGACACCCCAGGCCTGTGGCACACAGTCAGGGATGCCTCCATCAGACAGCAGGCACCACAGCACCTGTAGATTCGTTCCCAGATAGACATCCACAGCTATCCCAGACACTGACCCAGACCCATCTCCCAGCATTCCCTGCAAAAGCACCTTGGCAGGTTTGTTCTGACATCCTGGAGCCCCTCAGTGCAGGTGACATGGCTCAGCCCCGCAGGGACACGCTGCAGCTGCCTCCCGGCCCCTTCAGGTGCTTTCTGCTGGTGCCGGGAAGGACCTTTCCGTAAGTCCCAACAAAGAGGTGGTGTGGCAAGGAGTGAGCCGCTCTGATGGGAAAGTGCATCATCCCTGTTCTCCCATTTCCCGAGGAGGTGACCTGGCAGCAGGCTTGAACACAGCACAAGGCAACAGTCCCTAAACTGCAGATCTCATTGCGATGGGGTGTTGTGGCTGCTGAAAGTTCTCCTGAGCTCAGCAAGGTGTCTTCAGCGAAGGAAGGGCTGTTAGAGACAGGATCAGCTCTGGCTCGGGATGTCCCAGAGCCCCAGATTGTCAAAACCTGGGAGAAGGTAGAAGGGAACTCTCATCACCTCTTTTCCCTCTTATCCCTGGCTGAGCAACCTTTGCTCTGTCCTGGGATGGCTGTGTTTGGACCTAGTCTCCCCAGATACTTCCCAGCTCAGAAATGCAGCCTCACAGACCGAGAAACAGAGGCATCGATTGCATGATCCATGGGGCAGGAACAGACCCATTTTCCTCTGACTGCAATGGATGGGACCTGCAGAGACCGTGGGGTGCTGGGAACTGGGATTTTAGGAAAGCTCCCAAAGTCACAAGCAGTGAGATTCTGCCAGTGGGACTGAGCAGCCCCAGCCCTGGCACCAGATCTCCCCTACAACTGGGACCAGTAGCAGGGCTTGGATAGACCTGCAGGTCCCTGCTTCCAGCTCGCTTCCCTGCAGGGATGGTTGTCCTGCAGCCTCAGAAATGCCATCGGGGGGCACAAGCCATCACTTCCCCACAGCCTTTTGCAGTGGAGGGGTTATCCTGGGGGTACACTGCAGGGAAAACCAGCCCAGGGACATTCCTCTGCAGGCCAAACCTCTGGGAAGGGTTTGTTTGAATCCAGCGGCTATAGCAACGAGCCCTGCTGCCCGCTGCAGTGCTGCTCACCCCATTGCCTGCCTGCCAGAGCCATGGAGGGGGGGGCAGCGAGGGACCCCCATGGGAGCTGGGGGGACACTCCAGCAGGGACCTACATCATCCCGCACAAGGTAAGCCCTGGAGAACAATTCTGTTTTGGGATTTATGGGCTAGTCAGGGCTCGTGAGAGTAGGGTGGGGAAAATGGGACGGGTTGGGAGGAGGGAGGGGCTGGGGTTAGAGTTTCGGGTGGGCACTGTGGTAGCAAAGTTCCTCTTTGCAAAATGCCTCCCTGCCCTCTGCAGCCCGCAGGGTCACGGGGTGGGGTCTTGCCAGGCGTGCAATTCATCCAGACTTGCAGGGCTGCACCCCTGGAAAGACAGGGTCAGTGCAAGACACCCCCTCCTCTGAGGCTCATCCCTGCTGCCCCCAGAGCCAGCACTTCTCCTCTCCTTGCTACCAGCTCCTGTCCCCTCTCCTGCCCGGCTGCCACATTAACAGGGCACTAAGTTAAGCCAAGAGGGAGAGATTCCTGGGGTTTTCCTTCTCCTCCTGCTTTTCAGCTCCGATCCCAGCGATCTCCCCATGGAGCTGTGCCTGTGCCCCAGCAGCCAGTGATGATCCTCCAGCAGCTTCCTGGGACTGTGGCTCCCCTGGCCCCCACTACTGGACCACCGCACGTCCGGGAAGGTGCATGAAGATAGACATTGTAGACAGCGTTAAAATCAGCTTATCTTCGTCCTTTTCTTCTTTTCCAGCCTTTTCAGGATGAGGGCCAGGCAGGGGGGCTGTGCCCACGCTCCGCAGCCTCACAGGGCCAGCCACACCATGCTTCAACGGCTGCTTTGCCCCACAGGATGCGATTTTTGGTGGCTTTAACAACCTCGAAATCTGGGCTGGCTTTGGCCAAACCAGGGTGCTCCCAGGGAAGTGTTTGGGGCTGTTTTTTTGAAATCCACCTCTCTTTGTTCTCCCAAGCCCCATTTCACGTGGGTGTAGGGAGCATCACCAGGGAAAGACAAGGTGATACCGACTCCTTGGCCATGTGAGATGGGGCCAGAGTAGGACATATGCCAGCCTCACAGCCCGTGGCATGTGCAGGCAGGAGCCAGACTGACTGCCTATAGAGGCTTCACCCAACCTTATGCGACCCAGGATCAAGCAATCTGGGCTGGAGGAGCAGAGAGCAGAGGCTGGGGGCAAGCTTGTGGTCTCCAGGAGACACCATGGGTGAAGCTGTGCAGCATTGCAGGGAGTGGTGAAGGTTGACCTGTCTTTAAAAATACACAAATGACAGGGCATGCTCAAAATTGGTGTCAAAAGATAATGAAGATCCCAGCCCAGCCCCTGGCAGCCCTGTGGTGGGTGCTGGCTGCCTTTTCAGTGAGGCCAGTGGGATCCATTAAGAGCTGCCAGCTCTTCGTGTGCTTTCTCCTCCTGGTTCAATGCCTGGCTGCCAGCCTGCTCCCTCCCCGCAGCTCCAGCCACCTCCAGGGCTGTGCTGCAATGCTCCTCACTGGAGGGTCTGCTACCCCATGGGTGCCCTGGAAGCCTATCCCTACAGCTGGGAAAGCATTTTGGGATCTGGCACATGGGGCACGGGGGTGCCCAAACTCTTTTATACCCAGGGTCCAGTTAACAGGGGCTCACAGGTCTCGGGCCCGAAGCCAGAAGGATCTCAGAGGCAGCCCCTCTGGTGGGTTTACAGGCATTTTGCAGGGGAACCTCATGCCTGCAGCAAATGGGGAAGTTTTAATGGAGAGCAGAGCCAGACACTGTGCCTTCTCTGCAGCCGGATTACCCTCGGCAGCCACCCCGGGGCTTGGGCATCCAGCCAAGGGGACTGGGATGTGCATGGCCACTCCAGTTCCCAGCTCCTTGTGTGGGCATTGAGCATCCCTTGCCTGCTGCTCTCCTGCACCCATCTCTGCGGGTGCTTACTCCTGGGAATGTAGGTGAGATCAGCCCCCAAGGTCCAGCCCCAGCTCCTGCCTCCTTGTGGGGGTCTCTGAGCTCCCCTGTGGTGCAAAGCAGAGCTGACCCTGGCAAGCTCCCATGTGGTGCCACCCCTAGGACAGCGGCTCTGCCAAAAAAGCCACTGAGCGCTGCCAAGGCCGCAGCAATTCTCCTCCGAATGGGCGGGAAGTCTGATTCCTCCAGCACCACTAATCACCTTTTGTGAACAGCCTTCAGCAAGCCAGACCAGATGTTTAATCACATTTGCAAATAAGAAAAGGCTGAAATATGGCTATTTTAAAGCTTTATCCAAGCAAAATAATTTTTAAATGCCACATGGGCCTTCCAAATTGGGGTGGGGGGAGTCTGGCTTAGTTCCCACTGCTTGGGCACAGGGACGAGCCTTGGTGCCTCCCCATCCCAGGCACTCATCCCCTGGCTGCGTTTCTTGTGCCCTTGCTCTGATCTCTCTCTGACGCAGGGCTCCTTACTCTCTGGCAGATTTAATCGAGTTGATGATGATTCAAAACTCCCAAATGCACCAGGTGGTGATGAACAGCCTGGCTGTGTCGGCACTGACGTCCTTTGGGTTCGGTTCATCCCCAGCCGCTGCCCAGGTAAGGGTCAGGGATGCTGGATGAGATGAGACCATAGGCCCAAAGGACCAGAACGACAAAAGAGGTGGGCAAAAGGACCTTTCCAGAGTTGCTCAGGAGAGCAGGATGCCCATGTCCTGCTTTGGAACAACACAGGACCCCTCCGAGTGCAGAAGGTGGGTGGTCTCAACCCATCTCACTCCAGGCTCTGCAGCCACTTGGGGGTTTTGGGGCAATTTTTGCTGGTTTGATCCCCAGCTCTGCAAGCACAGATTGCACCCAGGCTGCTCGGAGGCAATTTAGCCCAGCTGGGAAGAGCCAGGACCCTCCCTGTATGCCATGGTGTGGGCAGGGTACAGTGCTGGGCTGCGGCGGCCAAGCAGCAAGGCTGAACACTATTCATTAGGCAGGATGGCTCTGCAAGGGCTTTCATTTAAAAGTCCTTCTCAAATCAAAATCATATTAAACATTTCATCTCCGTGGGGGGAAACAAATTCTGCTTTCTCGGCGGGGGTGAGAAGTGGGCTGCAGGCAGCTGCCTTGCTCGCTGCCAGCTGGCATCTCTAGGCACGCACCCTCCCAGATGCCTGTCCTGCACCGACCAGTTCCCAATGCTGGCCAAAACTGGACCCTGCCTGCCACATCTCAGCAGCCGGATCAAACAGACTCTTCCCAGCAGCATTCTGAGGTCCTGTCTGCGGGGCTGCCACCTCCCCATGTCCCCAGCAGCTGGCTGACCGTGGGGCTTTGTGTGAGATCAAACCCACCCAGCCAGCCCTGTGAGAGCTGTGCGGATCCAGCAGCATCACAGCCAAGTGTGGCTCCGTGGAACCCTCTTGCCGGTGTTTTGGGGTGTGGTGCCCCAGGGATGCAGCTGCTGAAAGGGACACAGCATAGCCTTGCCTTTTGTTCCTCCTTACAGGTGACAGTGGTACCTTTGCAGACCAGAGAGGAAGAGGAGGCTATGGTCTTCCACCATCACTACATCCCCTACCCCAGTCCTGCTCCTGTCCTGGCATGGCCAGTCCTGGCGCGGGACCAGGGGCCGGCGGCCATGCGGTACCTGGGCACAGGCTCATTAGCAGAGGATGGGGAGGTGTGAGTAACGAGGGTGCTGCTTTGTGCCACCCGGCACAGGGCTGCGTGAGTGTCACTGCGGCCCCTGGCCTAATGCTTCCAGCCCAAGCTGGGACACAAGGGACAGCACTAGGCCAGCACTTACTCCTGTCCTTGCTCCTCTCCAGCAGTGCGGTGCCCCCCCCTCCACCCCCTGGCACCACAGGGACCGTGGGACCCGATGTCCCGCCAGCATCAGGTAAGGACACATTCTCCCATATCCCTCAGCAAGGGACATCTTACCTTCAAGCATACATCAACCGGGCATCCCCCGGTCAAAGGCTGAGCCCTCCCCACTCCCTCTATCCACCAGATCCCGGGGGTGGCCCTTGCACATCCTTCAGCTTCCTCTTTCTCTCCACAGAGTACTATGACATGATGGAGGAGAGGCTGTGAACTCCATGCTTCCCAAAATGGTCTTTCCTGCACATCCCAGCCCTCGACCCCAGAAGATTCTGCAGGTGCTGAGCATGGGTGTTCCATGATACCCATATTTATGGGGTGACTTCCGGGTAAACGCACAAAGTGCATTTTGCTCAGCATGTTGTCTTCCGCCCCGAGAGCCACCCCAAAGGAGTGGGGTATCACAAATCCTGTCACCAGGTGACAGCACGACCCCAAACAGGGACAAGCTTTATCTCCATACACTGCAGAGGGCTCATCCCCAGCAGGTTAGCACTGACATCCCAAGCCCAGCTGGAGAATGGCTCTGCCAAGCCAGGAGGACCCTGTGGCATGGGTTGTGCGGCGTCCCCATGGGTGGGGAGGGGAGGTTTTTGCCAACCCAGGTGGTCCTGGTCTTCATTAGTCCCTTCAGATCTCAATGCAGCACATTGCCTGTAATTAATTTGCTTTGTTAAGAAAGGGCCCTGCTGTCACTAATTAAACATCTAATTATCCAGACTGCTGGCTTTGTGCCTGAATGCAGGGCTCCCTCCAGAGCTGTGGGGGAGGGGTGCGTGAGCCTCTTGCACCTGGTGTGGGGGTATATCAGTGCCTAACATGGGTGCTGGGGAACCACGGGAAGCAGAGTGGGATGCTCCTGGCTGAATGCAGCTTCTGGAGGGCTGGACTGAGCCTGCAGTTTGCTTCTGGCAGAGATGTGGTTAGGGCAGACAACCTGAAAGGGGTGATCAAGCTGTTCCCCAGGATTCAGTGTCTTCTTTACTCACCAGGAAGAAGGGGTATGTGAGGAAAAATACATTTTGGGTGCTGAAAGCTGTCCTCTGCTACCTTCCCCTACCCAACTTAGGGGTGACAGCTCTGCTCTGGCCCCAGGGGGATTACAGGCCAGTTATCAGGAGGCTTTGCCTTAAGAGCAGAGCTCCTAGCAGAAGATTCTGGGCTGGTGATCCTCTGGAGCTCAGAGCATGCAGAAAGATGATGCCCTGGCAGTTGTACCTTAAATTCCCTCCTTCTGGCCCCACTGGGCATGAGGACTGTTCTGTCTCTGCTGGCTCCCCATGGAAAGGAGGGTTTATCCTCCCTGAGCCCAGGGCTGAGCCGTGCTCTGGCACAGCCACATCTTCCCCTGCAGCAAAGCTCGGCCTGGCCCCTGCTGAAGCTCTCCAACATGGACCAGGGTCATGCTGGGTTGCAGCAGGAAGGCACATCTCCTCCAGCTGGGAACACTCTGGGCTGGGCAGAGCTGCAAGAGCAGAAGGGAGGGGAGACCATCTGAAAGCAAAGCTGAGTGATGGGAAACCAGGCTGGAGCACAAAGGTTTCCACACCTGTTGAGACAGAAGGGGAAGAAGAGAGGAGTCACCTGGGGATGGGGTGGACAGGAAGGATGGGCTCAAGATATGGCCCAATCTTTGCCTGAATGCGAGAATAATGAGCGGAATGGGAGGATGAAGCAATGGGGATTGCATTATGGTGGCAGTCACCCCTGGAGTGCTGGGTCACGCCAGATGAAACACAGCACCCTGCAGCTGGCAGCAGGGAGAGCACCGCGTGCCTGGGAGCTGAAAGGTGCCTGCTTGCACCCGCATCAGCGGGGACGGGGAGAAGGTGTGGGGGGAAA